TGTAATTATTCTTTAATGATGATAATTTAGAAAATGGTTAGCGTGAATGATGGTGGAAGGGTTTCTTCTTTTTCTGGTCACCCTGTCTAGGCCAGACTAAACCATCTTGTACATGTTTCAGGATTCTTCTCTCTTGTACCGTCCAGCGTCAATACTCTTGAACCAGGCGAGTGAGGCCCAGCATTACAGCATGGAGACTGCACTTTCTTCGAAACCTCCAGGCCAGCCTCTGGCAGACGGGTGCGGCGGTGACGGCATGCAAGATGGCCGGGACGTCACACTGCACACGGCACCTCCTATTCCACTCCTGCTGACAAATTCAGTGCTGCATCCGCCACCTCTTACGCTCTTGCCTCTTGGCACGCAAATGGTAAGTGAAATAAGGGAGACTGTCTATTGTCATAGGTGGTCTTCGACTTACCATGGGGTTAGATTCTGATGAACCCGCTGTAAGTTGAAAATATTGCAAGTCGAGAATATCGTAAGACAAAAAATATCGTAAGACGAAAATATCGTAAGACAAAAAATATCGTAAGACGAAAATAACGTAACACGAAAATATCGTTAGTCAAAAATATAAGTTGAATGTGAATATGACATGCTAAACTAAATAAGTAAACTACTGTCACTGAATAAGTAAATAAATAATTACTGTAACTAAATATCAGTATTGAAAAGTTAATAACTGAATACAAGTTATGGACTTACTGCCTTTATGTTGGGTAATTATCTTAACTTTTGTCTACAAAGTAACTGCTGCCGTACCATTGTAAAGTTGAGATATTGTAAGTCAAGGAACACCTGTAGTCAGTTCTGTTAAAAATCTATTCTATATAATGGAAATTTTGTAGCTGCAATTGAAACATTAGATCTGAAATCGAGTCATATGCACCACCTTTACATTACCCTTGATGAGTTTTGAGGGTGTGTGTACTCCTGAAGATGAGCCATAAGCCAGGTATAAAAGCCTGGAGCTACCTTTTCCCTAACTTAATCCTGATAACCTTTCATTCCCCAGGCACTCCTCACTGCAACATTCACAACCCAAGCTTCACACCCTTATAAGAGTGTTGGTACCACTATACTCTCATACATTCCTTTTTTTGCCTCCATGGATAACGTTCCTTGTCTCCGAAGATTCCTCTGTGCACCACCCACCCACCTATGGGTTTAATGCTCCACTCTGAATTAATAATACTCCACAAATATGCATTTTTTCCATGGGAAAGTGGGTTAAAGTCCTTCCATAAACCATGTGTGAGGTAAGAGGTGACTAAAGTGCTGGGAGCAAGGTGCTGATAACCCCTTCTGTATAAATTACTAACTGTAGATATGTTGTGTATCTTTATATGTTTATGCTTCTAAACTGTTGTATTCTGAGCACCTCTGCAAAAACAGTGATGTGTGAGTGTGGTGAAAGTGTTGAATGATGATGAAAGTATTTTCTTTTTGGGGATTTTCTTTCTTTTTTGGGTCACCCTGCCTCGGTGGGAGATGGCCGGTATGTATTTACACAGTCCTTTTTTTACCTGCAGGGCCATGAGGGCAAGGAGTAGGTCGTCAGTCATCATACATTCCTCCCAGAGACCTGCGCCACCACTAGTGTTCTTGTTTGAGCGGCATCTGGCCTCTCCGCAGTTTTTTAAAAGCATTTTGCACCTGTGATTCCGTGGCAGTGTTCAGTGCTTCTCTGAGAAGTGTCATTTTGCATGAGTTTAATCATGTTAATTTAAAGTTGGTGAATTTTATATTCAAACATTGAAATGTATGTTAATTTATAGACTTGGTTTACGTGTTGGGTCACCGCTGTAACTTTGTGTATATCTTCCAGTGAATGTATTCCATGTGTTGGGTCGTCAAACACACAGTTATAGCCATACTTACAAACACACAATTACATGTAAACTTATAAATAATTAAAACACCTGGAACACTAACCTGTTTTAACAGTTAAAACACCTGGAACACTAATCCCTTTTAACAGTTAAAACACCAGGAACACTAACCTGTTTTATCAACTTGAGGACCCCTGGTGGCTGTGTTTTACATTCACGATATTTCTTATCAGCATTTTAAGGTCAAAAGCACCATATTAATTTCCTTCTCACTTAATTTGAATATTCAGTTAGTTGGACTTCCTCTGGTCTTGCAAGACCAATGTACAACAGAGGGAGAAAGTTCACAAAAATGTTAATTGTTCATCATGTGAAATTCTTTAGCCTATGAAATATTTTGTGCAATAGAGCCCCTTTTGAATTCAACATTATATATATATATATTTCTTTCTTTCAACACACCGGCCGTATCCCACCGAGGCGGGGTGGCCCAAAAGGAAAAACGAAAGTTTCTCCTTTTCTTCTTTCTTCTTTCTTTCAACACACCGGCCGTATCCCACCGAGGCGGGGTGGCCCAAAAGGAAAAACGAAAGTTTCTCCTTTTACATTTAGTAATATATACAGGAGAAGAGGTTACTAGCCCCTTGCTCCCGGCATTTTAGTCGCCTCTTACAACACGCATGGCTTACGGAGGAAGAATTCTGTTCCACTTCCCCATGGAGATAAGAGGAAATAAACAAGAATAAGAACTAGAAAGAAAATAGAAGAAAACCCAGAGGGGTGTGTATATATGTGCTTGTACATGTATGTGTAGTGGGACCTAAGTGTAAGTAGAAGTAGCAAGACGTACCTGAAAACTTGCATGTTCATGAGACAGAAAAAAGGACACCAGCAATCCTACCATCATGTAAAACAATTACAGGCTTTCGTTTTACACTCACTTGGCAGGACGGTAGTACCTCCCTGGGCGGTTGCTGTCTACCAACCTACTACCTATAATATATATATATATATATATACATATATACAGTAGAACCCACATATCTGCGGATTCAGTTTCAGTTATCCACGGTTTACTGTGGCCTGAAAATAACCCATAATTTTGCATAAAAGTTGTGATGGCAGTTGTTCAAAGCCTGAGAGAAGTCGTAAAGCGCTTCCCATCAGTGAAAAAATAATAATACTCCACTTACTGTGCATAATTTATCAATTAAACTTTAGGTCGTGTATGTAAATAAAAAATGATTTGTATGTAGGGTTTGGTACTATCCACGGTAGGTCTTGGAACGTATCCCTCGTGGATATAGGGGACTACTGTATATATAATATATATATCGATTCATATATTAAAAGACAGGTTAATTATTGTTAGTAGTGAGTGATAGTTAGACTTTTATGTAAATAAGAGTTGATATATATATCTGTGTAGTGCATATATTTATATAAAGTTAACGAATATTGAGTATTGAACATTGAATATTCTTAGCGGTGTAGCTTTGTTGTAGACTGCAATAGCGAGGTTGCAACAGTTCGCGACCCTTTCATGATTTGGGGAGAAGCTGTGAATAAATGATATACAAAACTGACATAATAAATGAGAGACTTGTGCAACATATCACACAAGTGTCTGGAGAGAAGCTTTAGACAATGATTGGGTCCGTGGTGGGTCGTTGTTGGTACAGTGGGGGATGTGATGGACCCTCAGATATATCTCTCTCCTCGCGACTTGGTGATGGTCCGGGGTGGACATGAGATGTCTGGCATGCACTTTCTATATTGTGAGTTGTGAACTGTCAAGAGTAGTTGTGTCTTGCTGTGAGCGTCCTATCAACCCCAGTCACAGTAGGATGTGGATAGTGTTTGGTGGATGGATAATTTGTGGATAGTGTCTGGTTTATGTACAGGACTTGTAGATGGATAGTTTGTGGATAGTGTATAGTGGATGTACAGTGTTTGTGGGTAGTGTCTGGTTTATGTACAGGACTTGTGGATAGTGTATGGTGCATGTACATTGTGGATAGTGTACAGTGGATGTACATTGTTTGTGGGTAGTGTCTGTTGGATGAATTGCTGGTGGTTTTTGTTTTGCAGATAAAGACAAGAGAGGAGGTTGTACAGTAGAATCTCTTATAACATGACTCACGAAATCGTAATGACACGATTGCAAACAAACCATACCACAGGCGGGATTTGAACCCGTGGTCAGAGTCTCAAAACTCCAGACCGTTGCGTTAGCCACTGGACCAGCTGGTCCAGTGGCTAACGCGACAGTCTGGAGTTTTGAGACTCTTCGACCTCTGGTTCAAATCCCGCCCGTGGTATGGTTTCTCTTATAACATGTAAATGGTCTTGGAAATTGCTTATTATATATATACTGTTTTGCACCAAGGCAGGGCAAGTAAAGGAAAAATATTAACCATCATTCGTTCAACAGCCATTGTGCTAAAATTATTTTTTGTGACACGCTGGTCGTCCCACTGAGGCAGGGCGACCTGAAAAAGAAAAAACACTTCCACCATCACTCAGAGTGGAAGTGCAATAGTGACAGCGTACTAGAACTACGTGTAGGATTAGGGCACAGTGTGGATTATGGAATCGTACCTGAAAGAGGATTTGTCCAGGACTTGACAAAAGTCCAGGAGTTTGTGGAGTCCTGCTGGACAAAGTGTTTTCTAATATATCTTAACTTGCATATTATCTTTTTAGAAGTGTACAGATATTACAGAATTTTTAGTGTGAATTTATTACCTTCGAGAAATGTGGTCATGGTCCTGGACCCTCACACGTGAGATTTTAGTTTATTTATAAAATATGTGCGCTGAACCTCCCCTACTCTTCCTATTGGTTGAAAAAAGTTTACACGTGGTCAGTCGTATACAACTGCTCTTTTTTTTATTTTTATACTGTATATACTTGTAAAGTCAGATACATGTTGCATCCTGGGTAAGAACCAAACTAGTATAGTCATGCCTCTGGCAAGACAGTGATGGAGTGAACGATGATTAAAGTGTTTCTTCTTTTTTGGATCATCCTGCCTTGGTGGGACACGGCCAGTGTATTAAAAAAATAAAAAATCCAAATTGCTTGGCTTTCCTGGGTTACTAATCCTCTATTACTAACCTAAATATTATTACAGTTATAAGTAAGTGCTAAACTCACAAGGGTTACTAACCTAAATAAAACCTTATACTCTGTCAAGAGTGATGCATTAGCATCATACAATAGTTGCAGTAGGTCTCACGAATTTTTTTAAACACATCGGCCATTTCCTACTGAGTCATGGTGGTCCAAAAAAAGAAGAAACACTTTTTATCATCATTCACTCCATCACTGTCTTTGCCAGAGCTCGTCCTCTACTACAGTTAAAGAACTGCAACACATTTCCACCCTGGAAATATAAACACAAATGCAGTATAATGTGATCCTTTATTGACAACGTTTCAACCCCAGGTAGATCCGTGTGTGACTTGAAAAAGCCCACTGTGTGGGTGAAACGTTGTCAATAAAGGATCACATTATACTGCATTTGTGTTTATATTTCCACTGTGTTGGTATTTTTTATACCATTTATTTCCATTGTTTCTACATTTCCACCCGTCCTGTCTTGCCAGAGGTGCGCAGATATGACAGTTCACACGTGCATATTTATTTCTTAGTTTGTATAGATATACGCTTCAAACCTTGATCTAATGGACTAAGAAAATGTAGAATAAAATCCACCAGGCAAACTGATTCAGAAACAATTATGACCGCTGGTTACGCAATTGTCCGTTGTTAAAGATCACGGCAGAGGACGATTCCAGAAGGGGATCAAAATATATAGATCAATTAATCTTTGAGTTTCTGTCTCCATGTGGGTTATTATTGAGCATTGACAAGCAGTAGTGGACTATTATTTTTGGGGCCCTGAAGCTCAAATTGTTATGGGGGGCCCCTTCAAAACCCCTTCTCATACAGTAGACTAAAGTGACTTCTGGGTCCTGTCTGGGATTAGGGGCCCTGAAGCATAAGTTTCATTACTGTCACAGTAGATCTGCCCCTGCTGACGAGTGTTCATTATACTTCAGTTATTCACAGTTATTCACAGCAAAATTATTAGTGTCCACAGTTGCATCTGTCCACCACAGTCACCATCCACTAGACCCTGACACCGCAGATGTAAACCATCCACATTCGACTATGTCTGGGATTCCACAATTCCGAGTGTTCATCAAATATATGCTGGAATGGATGACAGAAAGCATGCCTGCTTAATAAGGAAGCATTATATGATTGGCCAAGCTGTGATTATTAAACCTGTGATCTGCTAGCAGCAACAGTCTGCTTGACTGCACAGTCAAGCCAGTGATGGCAGAATCCTTAAAATTGGTCACTGACAGTTTCCAAATTAAGCTGCTGGTTACTAAGTGACTGTGACCAGGACACACTCCCAGGTTACTGGTCACTGAATGTGACCAGGACATACCCAAGTTATACTGGTCACTGTGACCAGGACACACTCCCAGGTTATTAATGGTCACTGAGTGACTGACCAGGACACACCCAGATTATTACTGGTCACTGAGTGAATGTAACCAGGACACACCCCAGGTTATTATTGGTCAGTGAATGACTGTGACCTGGACACCCAGGTTATTACTGGTCACTGGTTGACTGTGACCAGGACACACTCCCAGGTTATTACTGGTCACTGGTCACTGTGACCAGGACATGTAATATTCTCAGGGCCGCATAGAATTAAAATGTATTATTTTTCTCCCCACTAAACTAATGAGAAAGAACAATTCTGAACAAACTGAGGATGCAAAATTTATGATCAAAATAGTATAAGAACGCATGTTAGGAGATTCTACTGTACCTTGTTACGATGGTGATGTTATACCTTGGCAGGGAAACATGTAGACACGGGTATAGCATGTTGAGGATATGTGTTGGTGTCAGCAGGCTTCACTGAGATGGTGACATCAGTGCAGTATGTTGCACTGATGTTGTTTGTGACATCAGTGCAGTATGTTGCACTGATGTTGCTTGTGACATCAATGCAGTATGTTGCACTGATGTTTCAGCGACATTAATGTAGTATGTTGTACTGATATCAAAATGCATTGACGTACTGCTGCATTTACCGATGGGCCATCATCTAGTCGCAAAATCGTAATAGCCCTATTGCAAACCATGGAATGGGTGGGGTTTGAGGCAATAGCGAGCAAGTCGTAAAGCTCCCAGTGGCGTACACACCGGCCTGGAGTTATGCCAGTTGCTTCCTTGTTTGTCGGTCGTTGCATCGGCTTGCATCACAACTGCGTTACCTAGCATGTGTGTTACACAACATGGGTTTATGAGCCTCGGTCACCCTCCTGAGGCATGTGCGGTCTGTCATCACCTGTGAAATGTTAAAGCTGGTGAGTACGTACACACAGTGCTGGATCTACAGTTTTGTGGCCCTGAAGCTGGAACTGTTATGGGGGTCACCATGGCAACCTGCAACAGCTAGCCTAGCCTACAACAGCTAGGCCTATATGATACTTTAATAACTTTTTAATATTTATTTTAACTATTATTATGCATTGAATTAGACATTATTATTTTTTAAAAACTTTCTCATACAGTAGACCCAAAATTTTTAAACAATGTTGACTAAAGTGGCTTCTGGGGCCCCACCGGGATTAGGGGCCCTCAAGCTTAAGCTTCATTAGTTTCATGGTAGATCCATCCCTGTGTGTATATATACAACTTGATCATAGAAGAAAAAGCTTGTTTTATGTGGAGACAGGAGTGGAGGAAGTATACCTGGAGGATGTTTCAGGGGGTCAATGCCCTGGGGGGGGGGGATCAGTGAATAAAAATATTAACATTGTGTCTGTTGAATTGACCTCTTTACATTATTTCCAAATCTTGACAACTCTGTCGCTCTGAATGGAATCCAAACACTCAGTATAACAGACTTTTAAAATACTGATAGTACTGTTAATTCTATTACAGCCTCTCCTCACTTAGTGACGTACTCGTTTACCAACGTCTCGGACTTACGACGGGCTCTCTGGCCAGTATCCCTACCTAAATAGTGCATATTAGAGCTGACTGTCTCTATTCTGTTTATTACAATACACAGTACGCTACTGTATAAACACTTAAAACAATATCAAAGATGGTTGACACAAACCCACCACCAATTATGTACCTCTGTAATCTTTTGACTACCGCCCACAGGATGGGTATGTGGTGCATAATAAACATATTAAACTAACTATCCCCACCCTCACGGGGCTAGTAGGGAGAAGCTAGGTCTCTGGTCTGCCATCCCCACCCTCACGGGGCTAGTAGGGAGAAGCTAGGTCTCTGGTCTGCCATCCCCACCCTCACGGGGCTAGTAGGGAGAAGCTAGGTCTCTGGTCTGCCATCCCCACCCTCACGGGGCTAGTAGGGAGAAGCTAGGTCTCTGGTCTGCCATCCCCACCCTCACGGGGCTAATAGGGAGAAGCTAGGTCTCTGGTCTGCCATCCCCACCCAAAGGGGGGTCTAATGGGAATAACAGTCTTGTAAGCTACAAGCTCTGGCTCAGGGACCTACCCTACCCTAGAAGGGCTGGGCATGGTGTTGATGTACAAGCTCTGGCTCGGACCTACCCTACCCTATAAGGCTGGCATGGGTTGATGTACAGCTCTGGTCAGGCCACAACCCTACCTAGAAGAGCTTGAAATGTGATGTATGTACAAGCTCTTGCACGGCACCTACCTACCTAGAGGCTGGCTGGTTTGATACAAGTCTGGACTCAGGGACCCTGCCTACCCTATAAAGTGGCATGATGTTAGAGTGCAAGTCTCTCAGTCCTTACCAATACCTAGAAAGCGGGCATGTTTATTAAACACTGCTCAAAGCACTACCCTAACCAGCCCGAGATGACCGTTTGATTTACAGCTCTGGCCAGGGACCTACCCACTAGGTAAGGGCTGAAATAGGTTTGATCTACAAGCCTCTGGCTCAGGGGACCTGTACCGTCCTAGCAATCCACTGGGCAGTGTGGAGTAAGCTCTGGCTCGGCACCTACCCCAACCCTAGGATAGGCTGGGAATGGTGTTGGATCTGCCTGCTCACGCACCTCCGCTCTGAAGGGGACTGGGCATGGTTTGATGTCCAAGCTCGCTCACGGGACATACCGTAACCTAGAGGCTGGCATGGCATTCCCACCCAAAGGGGCTATGGGACTAACCCTACCTGAAGGCAAGGCTTGGCTGGACTACCACCTGGGCTGGCAGGGGACTACCAACCTAAGGGCTCGGGACTAGCTCCTAGAAGGGGGGAAGTGTCTATGGGGAAGGGGTATATGGGGGTATCTAACAGGATTGACACCAGTGGTTACGGAACCACCCCGTCACAATGGGCACTCCTCTCGTGCCCCTTCAACAGTGGTGGGTATTCACCCTCAGTTCTCCACCAATACCCACAGTAATAAACGTACATTTAAGAGTAACTTTAAGATAACTAAAGATTGGGGGCTCTTATCAAGGGAATTGGAGCTGTACCCCGGCTCCCTATATAACCCTACGGGTTTAACGCTCCACCATAATAATGACACCATAAAGTGTCTTAAAAAATTAGGTATATATAAAATATGCAATTTATTAACCAATTACTTAAAAAATATATTAATTATTTTTTTATTTAATTTTTACAACGTTTGAGATGTTATATTAATTTTTAAATATTTTTTTTGTAATTTTTAAATTTCTTTCAAAATATTTAATTATTATTTTTGTGTTTAATTTCTGGTATTTGAATATTTAATTAATATTATATTAATTAGTAGGTAATTAAATAATTGTGATTTATTAGGGGAAACTTAATTAATTTTCAACTTGTTAGGGGAAACTTAATTAATTTTCAACTTGTTAGGGGAAACTTAATTAATTTTCAACTTGTTAGCGGAAACTTAATTAATTTTCAACTTGTTAGCGGAAACTTAATTAATTTTCAACTTGTTAGCGGAAACTTAATTAATTTTCAACTTTTTTGTTAGGGGAAACTTAATTAATTTTTAACTTGTTAGCGGAAACTTAATTAATTTTCAACTTTTTTGTTAGGGGAAACTTAATTAATTTTTAACTTGTTAGCGGAAACTTAATTAATTTTCAACTTGTTAGGGGAAACTTAATTCTTAACTTGTTAGGGGAAACTTAATTAATTTTCAACTTTTTTGTTAGGGGAAACTTAATTAATTTTCAACTTGTTAGCGGAAACTTAATTAATTTTCAACTTGTTAGGGGAAACTTAATTAATTTTCAACTTGTTAGGGGAAACTTAATTCTTAACTTGTTAGGGGAAACTTAATTAATTTTCAACTTTTTTGTTAGGGGAAACTTAATTAATTTTCAACTTGTTAGCGGAAACTTAATTAATTTTCAACTTGTTAGGGGAAACTTAATTAATTTTCAACTTTTTTGTTAGGGGAAACTTAATTAATTTTTAACTTGTTAGCGGAAACTTAATTAATTTTCAACTTGTTTTGTTAGGGGAAACTTAATTAATTTTCAACTTGTTAGGGGAAACTTAATTCTTAACTTGTTAGGGGAAACTTAATTAATTTTCAACTTGTTAGGGGAAACTTAATTAATTTTCAACTTGTTTTGTTAGGGGAAACTTAATTAATTTTTAACTTGTTAGGGGAAACTTAATTAATTTTTAACTTGTTAGGGGAAACTTAATTAATTTTTAACTTGTTAGGGGAAACTTAATTAATTTTTAACTTGTTAGGGGAAACTTAATTAATTTTCAACTTACAAAGTAACGTAATATATTTATGTGAAGGAATTAGGAGTCACGGGGCGGTTAAGGT